GGGTTCTGGGCCGTTTCTCATGGTTCTTCCTTCTTTCGTGTACCAATCACCATCGCTGAGTTAATTTGAAATGGGTTGCCATTCCAGCGTTAATTCGTCCTTTAATAAGCGGTCTCATGCACAATACCAAAGATGTCACATCGCTAATGTGGCTGTGGTTGAGGCTAATTAGCCGGCTGCCAACTAACCACCGCGAGCCCAAATCGTCCTCGGCCTACAGATCGCCGCATAATTCATAAGCCGAACCGTTTTTCTATGAATTATTAGGTCGTGAAGAAAGTTCTTGCGCTTTTCGGTGTTTCGTTTTTGAACGCTTTATTTTGTTACGAATTCAAGCAAGCTGCCAATGAGCTGTATGTGGTTTTGAAGAGCTTTTCTTGTTCTATCTAACAGCTAGGCTAGCTATGTTCCTTATTATTTAGTTGTCATTTTTTGAAGCCTTGAATACGGCATACTCCAAGAGCAAATTTGCATGATTTCCTTTTTCTAGCTCAAAGCAGGCCAGTATGGAGAGGAAGCAGGTCAAGATATTATAGACGCACTTGGCTGAGATTCGCAATAAATATGGTCTGAAGCAATTGTTCAAAAAGCTTTTGTAAGAATAGCGAGAGGGTGGTGATCGGAGATTGGACAACGCCAACGATTAGTCGAACGTTCTGGTTGAAGCACGTTTGCACAAATCTATTGAGAGGGTTCCTCCTAAACTAATCGCACTTGCATTGTGTTTTCTTGTTGTACGGGAAGAGCTGGAAAGTCCCAAAAATTCAAATAGGGCGTGCCGCGACAGCTCACCATTTTGAAGGGTCGTTCGCCGCGTTCTAGCTTGTTTCATGCCATGAAAACGACCTGACTTTTTGATCATTTGCGACGCACGACAAAGAACGGATTCTTTGCTACAGAATACGAACCTTTGGTGAAGTGATCGACCGCGATCAGGCTCTACAAACTTTGCAAAAGTGAAACTTCACTGAAGGAAGGTTGAGGTGACTTTCATAAGGTCAGCGGCTGGTCTAGCTTTTCGTAACCAGGTGGATCTGTTAATGTGGAAAAAGTACTCTGATAATGTGTCAAACTACTCCTAGAACTCTGGCACATATGCTCGAAATTCCTCATTATAAAGGAACCGGCTCGTCCCTGACAGGTAGCTCGGACGCACATTCCACAACCAACCCTGCAGAAGTTGGAACTACGAATTAGTCCTGCTAACATCCTACTCGGTAGACCTTTGCCTATGAATTTGTCACTTTCTCGACTACCTGGATAGCTTCTCCAAAGAGTTATGCTTCAAAACCAACATGATGCGGAAACGACCTCCGCCGGGTTCATCGTCTCTAGAGCTCCAGTATTCTGCACTACCGGGCTGATTCAACGCAGCTATTATTGGCAGAGGTGGATTCTAACAGTCTTTACCAGGGTCAAGCGAACCGTCGAGGAAAATTTGGAAATACGACCCCCCCCCTCCCTCCCCCAGAGGCCGAAGTCCATGAAACGACCCTTTTCAAAAACAGAGCTATGAAAAGGTTGTTTAATTCTCACCCAAAATGTTCAAAAGAGCCCTGCAACCCCACCGTCCACCAAAAAATTCTTATAGGAACTAAAAAAGTGAAAAAAGTCAAAGAATGATCATTAATGATGAGCCTACCAAACGAGCAAACGAGAAAAGGAGCAAAAACGACAAACTAGTCACTAAAAATGGCATACTATGACAACATCTCTTCTCTATTTATTTCCTTCATAACACTTACCAAATTCTAGTACTACACAGATCATGGTTCTCAATTTAAACGTCCCCCTTTCAATTGATAAAAGCCTTGTAACCGCCTTAGCCAGCTGTGTGCTGACTGATCTTTGGCGTTGACCGTGGAGCAGCTTATGTACTATTGAAATTTGAACAAATATTCAAATGATTATAACTTTCTTCAAAGTGACGAATTTTCAATCTGAAAGCAGATTTGGGAGTTTTGTGAAGAGCTTTTTCTAATCAGTATTGAAATTACAAAAAGTTATGAGAAATAACAAATTTAGATCAATTAACGAGGAAAATTCATGATGAGCACGAGTTTTTACACTTTCCGAAGCAATAACTTGCTTCATTTTCGTCAAATTCGAAAAGTTAATATGGCAGACAAAACTAGAAGATTTTCTCTATCAAACCATTGCTAAAGCAGCTTCATACGTCCAGTATTCTAAAAAATGGCCACGTTGAGGATTTTTGCAAAATTAACGAGGAAAATTTGTGATGAGTGCGAGTTTTTACGCTTTCCAAAGCCATAACTCCGTTCAAACTCATCCAATCTGGAAAGTAATATACGTCATAAACTTAAAACGTTCAGGATTTCTGCCCGAGTACCGCCGAAAGGTACTTTTTTGCTGCATTGGCCCTATTTCAACGGCTATAGCTCCTTTCAGAGGCGATTACATACTAAAGTAGGGGCAGATTCGAAATGCTCCTGCTTCTCTCTTCCAAGAAGTGTAAAATAGTTTAGTGTATCTCAACTTTAAGGGTTACGTGCTTAAGAATTTGACGCTGAAGACTGTGTTTCTTGTTGAATGGTGTACTCCTCCCTGTAATTTCACACGGATCCTTTCAGAATCCTCTTAGTTTTTCCTGAATTGAGTTCTTTCTTCAGAGAGCCGTAGTTGAAGTGCGCGCAACCAATTAAGCCCACTCTGGGATGCGCCATGTGCTTCACATCCCTTTAGATTCGAGGACTCACTTGAAAGATAAAATATCCTTGGAAAAAGTGCGAATTATTTCGAATTGTTTAACTTGTATGGTGACAAAACCAGGATCATCACCGTCAGAGGACAAGTAACTAAGAATTGCTAAGCGGACATCTCTGAATCACGAATGTGGGCAGAATGACATTGTTATTGGAAATCCTCTGGCCTGGCATCGACCCTTGATGTTTGTCCTCCGATGGTGATGATCCTACCGCGTCAATCCGGCCCGATCTCTTCCTCCCAGCGGGCCAATACGACCCCCCCCCCCCTGTGACAAGTCGAGGATCCCTCAATGCACGCTTGACCCTGGTTGCAACTGGAACGCATGTACTGCGGGCAGGTTCGGACAACTCGTCCAACACACGTCTCCCTAAACGGCAGGGGGAGTCCCTGTCTAAGCCCCTGCCCGACGTTTTTTTCTACTTTTTCTTTCTCCATTGACCAACTTCTCACCTGCAACGTCATTATAGGTGGTCCTTACCCGCGAATTCGTTCCTGGATTGTTGCTTTAAGGATGACTCAGGGAATAGTTCTTAATTCAGTAGAGCTCTGTGTTAATTGAATGCGCGCGGGAATTTTTTTTAAGGGGCGAGCATCTCACTGTTCACTCCAATTGTAAGTGGCGAAGGGCTCGAAGAGAGGCGTTATGGAATCATTAAGGCGTCAGCTAAGAGGTGGTCCCTGATTGGGGAGACGGAGAGAGATGGATAATGGGAAACGAGAAGCGAGATTGTTCAGACAAAGTAGACGATAATTTTCTGGAATAATACGCATAATTGTACAAACCAA